AAACTATACAATTAGGAAATCCTTAGTTAGTTTGTCCTTGGTGGAGAAGTAACCAAGATTTCCTTGAGGCTGAGCTGGCTCCAAGGTAATGTTGAGTCAACCCTCTGTAACAGTTTTGGTAGTCTGGCCACTGAGCTAAGTGGGTCAGCAGTACTCCAAGGCTCTTAAGCATGGTGATAGTTTTCTACATTGATCAGTTATGCAACTTTAGCTGGTTAAGATCCAACAGACTCTCATCACACTTTTTGGGATCCCAACCCTTGGGTCTTACGAACCTACTCTCTAGAATTAGTCCGGTCACTGGTGGCAAGGATTCTTCCCATTCAGTCAAACCCTTTATAGGTTTGAATCCACAACCTTTTGACCTAGAAGATTAAAGTGCTAACACTTGAGACAAACTGACACTGATCAAACTCCTAGCAACTTCAGGTAGTACAACAAAAAACAAATTGCATTTATATAGTGCCTTTCACGTCAGGTGGATGTCCTGTCCTTACCTTACCCGTGCAACGTCCCATAAAATTCCTTTGATTCATCCATCTCAAATTCTGAATCATTTCAGTTGTCAGGGCTGATTTCTTGTTCAACCACCAATCCTAGTGCAGTACAAAAATAAACTCTGCTGCATTTTGCGCCCTGTCACATGAGAGACACTGGAGAGCTCGGTCCAGTGGAACCAAACACGAGAGCAACTGTTGTGCTTCTAGAGAGGAAACTGGTTTGGGAAAAATCCCCATTGGAAGCTGTGCAGGGCTCAGGTCAGACTGCACCTTCTGGGCATTGTGACCTCAGGTGACCTGCACATGCCTTACTAAGCCACGCAGTGAAAAGCAACCAATGCTGAACAGTGTAGCTGATTGTATAAATCTTTGGCTTGTGGCTGGAAAAATCTAGACATTCCTGGCAGCGGTGTGGTATTATATCCAGTCCTGCTGCTGCTTGGCAAGTCAATTTTGGAGCCTGCCAAACAGGTTAAAGCTACTGCAAAGCTATTGCAACTTGTGAAAATGTGTGCTTTTAAGGTCGCAATAAATGTATAAATACTACACAAGTGAAGCATGTTAAAACACCATATCCAAAGATGTTTACACGTCACCAGACGTAAATACAAATAAGTTGTCGGTATGTAGTAAAAAGGAAGAAAATTTGCTTTTGAACCCTATTCAAGCACAAATGTAACTCCCCTGATGCTGATTGACTTGACTGATTTTACTTGAGGTGAATTGAAAAATAATTGGCTGTTATTTTAGTCTCCTCAACATTATTGCCAGGGAAATGTACCATGGGACTTTCTGTAGCACACAGTTGAAACGAAAATAACTATTGTAGTTTGAAGTTCAGTATAGTTTGCTACACCTACACAAGTCATCGAAATAGTCATGTGAAAATGAGCTGAATGCTATAACTATTTTTCTCAATTAGCTTGTGGCTGGAAAAATCCACAAATTCTTGGCAGCAGCTTAGCCATGGAGATAAGTAGGATGTTGTCTACCCAATTGCTCAAAAGAGATGTTTGTTTCACTTGAATTTCATTTATACTCATGAAGAATGAATGAAGAATGAAGTCTTTAACTAAGAGTATTCCTCTAAATAAATAATATAAGCAGAACCAGGGGAAGGGAAAGCCAAGAGTAAGGTTACCAGATACTCATCAAGTTTCCATGCACGTGTGTGAGCTGTGCCAATGATAGCTATGAGAGTTGTAATCATTGATGTAAAGTGAACACTCATATAACTTAATTACAATGTTACTATGCATCGCAGCCACCAGTGCTAGTGTCAGAACAGGAGACACAGGTGACAGAACACGTTTATCTGCTTGGCCTCCATCGAGGCTAGTTAGGTTCTTTTGCAGTTTATCGGTGATTTTTCAACAACAACTTGCATTTATATAGCATTTTCACCTGTGCTAGCGTCCCGGAGTGCTTTTACACCTCACAGAGAAGCTTCTTAACTGATTCACTGACCAATGTGTTTATATTAGTCTGAGTCACATGCTCCATATTTAGCAATCCCAATCAAGTGCCTTCTATTGCTGTCAGGATTTTATAGTTCAGATGGCCCGCTGCCTGCCAGTTGAAGACTAGGACTTAATTTGTTGTTTGTCACATCATGCAAAGATTTTCTGATATGTGTGGTTCAGTATATGGCATTGATCATGTTGGCAATGTGCTCTTTTGTGGAGTGTTAGACACTGTGAGACACCTGAATGTTTGATGTGCACATCTGCATTGGCAAATAGCTCTGTTCCTAAAGGGACCAAGAGAGTGATTAACAGCCTGTTTAGGTGTTAAACTATCCTAATTGCGGATCCACAGTTTTTGGTTCGCTGAATTTCACAAACAGCAAGTACCTTAGGGATGCCCATAGGACACTGCAGTGTTCTGCCATGTTCACACATTGTTCACCTGGTAAGAATGAGTTTTCCATCGAAAGCTCAAATTAATTATTAGAAAATTGGTGACCAGAAAGTGGAAGCTCAGACTCCAGCCCTGATCGAAGTACGATCTGAGAGGCTATGTTGGGTGAACTTGCTGATTTGTACCATTCATGAACAAGGAGTCCCATAGCATTGCGATTAGCATGCTCTCTTCGTAAGCAAGAGGACCTAGGTTCAATTTCCAGGCGGGTCAAAACCTTAGGCAAATTTCCTTACTCTAGATGCCTCTGTTTACCTGTCAGTAAGTAGGAACCTGATTGTCAGTCAATTGGGGGATCGCTTTCCTCCAAAGAAATAAATAATTTGGTCACTCAATCGACAACTATTTGAGGGACCCTGCAATGCACAATTGGCTGCTGCATTTCACCCACAAAATACAGTCAATCTACTTTATAATATATTCTGTGAAATGCATTGAGATGTCTCAACGAAGCGATAAGGTGCTATATCAAAGGCAGGGATTATTATTATTTAAATAAACGTGATTGAAGGGAACTGTGTTGGTGCACGGCCTTTGTCACTATTTATTCTACTCTGGAACTAGGGGCTTGAAATATCATTGCACATTAAATGTATGTGTTAGATGGATTTAAGGTATAAGTTCACCTGTCTTTAATGCTGGTATTCCACTTTTGCTTCACAAATGTCCTCTTGAATTTCTTCTGTTGTCTTGAATTGCCCTGTAACATTACTAATGAGCATCAACTGCATGCAGGCATCATATAAGTGGACACAACATCACATTATGCTTTGCAAACAGCTATTACAGTATTTGCCTGTAGTTGTACCCTAATGTATAGCTCAATTAGTCATGGAATTCTCCACTCTGTTCAATAATTCATTTCACATTACAGTATACAGTGGCTGATGGATTTCTAGCCTAACAGAAAACAGTGTAAAATGTCTACATTCATTAGTAATTATTTATGCATTTGTTTAATTATATTCTGTCTTAAATCCAGGTTTCCTTCTGATCGCCTCATGATTGCCTGTCTCTCTGTTGCTGTTTGCTTCTTACAACACCTATATGGATATTCAGGCCTCTTTGTTTGGCGTGGCAATCTACTTCAACAGACAGGCTCCATACTCCATATACGCATACTCCATCCTTCCTGATCCCAATCCACAGCTTGGGTGCAAAACCCTCATGGTCCAGTGCCTTGGGACATCCTCCTGACATGAAAGGCACTATACAAATGTAATTTGTTGTTGTTGTTCAGTCCACGGACTGTTTGTGGGACACTGCTGTGCGCAATTGACTACCGCGTTTCGTCCACAAAATATACAGTCAATTCACTTTACAGTATATCCTGTGAAGTGCTTTGAGACGTCTCAAATATGTGATCAAGCGCTATATCAAATGCAAGGAATATTATTATTATTATTTGAAGGGTAATTGAATGTTGAGAGATCCAGATGGATTGTAGAGCCAATAGGTTCTGTCTGGTCCTTCGGATGCGACGTTAAACCAAAGTCCTGGCTTCCTGTTCAAGGTGGACGTTAAAGATCCCATGGCATTATTCAGCTGGTGTTATTGAGCCAAGCTGATGTTAGTCTTTGTTTAATGATTTCTCTCATCAATGTCCTAAAAATAGATGTAAATTTGGAATAGGCAAAATAATATCCAGGAATTGAGCAGCTCAGTACTTTCCCTGCATGTAGCAGGGTAACATGAACTCTTGGGCTTGTGAACTGTATATTTTATCATATTAATAAGATTAGAGGCTTTGGCAGATTGAGGATTTACTGCAGCCCACAGAGTAACAGCATGCAGTCAGAGGGCTAAAATAATTAATATGACACAACACCATAAACCATCAACACATCCACCAAGGTCAACAATTAATAGGTTCCATGAAAAACAGTACAGCCAGATTGAGGTGTGGCAGCAGTACATTGATGATTTAATTACAGGCTGTTCAGTTTATTTTAGTCTCCTTTGGGTACTTGCTAATTCCCCAAAATAAAACATAGTCCAAATATCGGTACTTTGATTTTAATGCTTTAATACAGATTTACAACATGGGTTTTAGGTTCATGTCATCCTGCGATTATTGTTAATTAACACATAAATTAAACATAAACTTGCATTTATATAGCGTCTTTAATGTAGGACAACATCTCAGAGCACTTTGCAAGGATGGGGTCAGATGCTGAGCAAAGGAGAGGGAGTATAGGGGAGCTGGCCATACGCCAGTTGGAAGAGGTAGGTTTCGAGGCAGACAGAGAGGGGGTGAGATGGAATGGTAGAGGGAGGAAGTTCCTGAGATTAGGAGCTTAGAAACTGAAGACTTGGCCACTGATTGTGATGTGGAGAGGGCAAGGACACTCAGCCAGTTAGCTGAGCGAGTGAAGGAGTAGGATAAAAGCTTGGAGAGAGTAGGAGGCGCAAAGGTATGGACAGATATGTAGGTGAAGCTGATCTTGAAATAGATCAGCCAGAAGACAGGGAGCCAGTGGAGCCTAATGAGCACTGGGGTGATGGGTGTGCAGAGTTTGGTGTGGATTATGAATGTGTAATGAGCAGTAGATCATTGAAAAAATTAACCACTTTAGTGTCTGTATTTTAAACAATTTATTTCATTTTTGAGATTTATAAGTCAGTAATAAATGCCATTAACATACACAGATTCACATTTCCTACAAAGCAGCAGTAACAAACTGCATAAGATACTCTTAAAATCCCCTGCTTCATTTAGATAGCAGTTGCTGATTGACACTTTATACTTATTCCCTGAAACCTATTCATTAAATTGTTCATCAATAAGTACTTTTTCATCAGTGTGTTATTTTTAAACATAAAATGTTTACCAGTTCACTTTACTTGTGTAACAGTATAGATGCATCTCTGACTGTTCATCAACAGCTTGAAAAACAATCAACATGTTTTAGATTAAAATATTTTATTACTATTATATCAGTTTAGGAGATTTTGAATAGAAATAGAACGGGAATTGCCAGAAAAATGTTTCAAGAAATGTGCTGGGATTTGTTAATTTATCATCAATAGGGATCATTGAAAGGGAAGTACGGGTGACTTGCATCTCTCCACACTTTTATCCCATCTTTCTGCAAAAGTGAGGAAAGATCAAACAGGTTACATAATGTTTCTAGTGTATCACTTTTATTTACTGATTCTATTTACAAGAGATATTCCAACTTTTTTTTCTAAAACTTACTTCGACTGTTGGGACAATCAATCTTCCATTGCAGTCAAATGACTCGATTTGTTTCATATCCTCCTGAGACAACGTGAAATCAAATACCTGTTTATTTGACAAAGAGAAAGAGAGATTTCCATGTGTTTTAGTCACATAAATCATTTGAGCTGAATGGTAATTATTTTCATGCTGACATCTTTAAATGGAAAGAGTTTCATTATCAAAGTGAATAGACATAACAAGACATGCAGTTAGTTTACTAATATCAATTAGGGCAGTAGTTGCAGAATTATAACTGAACTGAGAAAACCTGGGTAAAAGAGGGTGAGGAAAAACCCAACAGACAAGGGCTTTTGTCCTGATCTCTGTCCAGCCGTACTGAAATTTATAAGCCTGTGATTATCTGGTCTATATGGGATAGTTGTGCATTGGGTAGGGCCTTTATCAAAGGCCATTAGCAGAGCACCAATACATTCTTAAGATTAGCAATGCATAGTTCTATTTCAGTCTGGAGCATTTTTTCGTTTTAATGTTGCTGTTATAAGAACAACTTGCATTTATATAGTGCCTTCACGCAGGGTAGCGTCCCGGAGCGCTTAACTAAATAGCACATGTAGCTGAGGGAATGCAGAGTCCACTTACCACTGCATTGGCTAAGATTAGCTGACGTCAGTTAGATTAGTTAACAGTGCAACCCAGGAATTATTCTCAACTCAATCCAGAAGCCAAACTTTGCCATATTTTTTACCCTTAAGACCACTGTCTTAAAATTTAAGATTGTGTGGAAGTTCAGAAAATTCTTAAATGTGGAAGCGTTTTCTGCAATTCTTAAATATCCGGTATTATTGATTGCTGACGTGTTTAAAAAGACCTGAAAAGAAATTATACCTTTGTAAGATGTTAATACATCACTGAAAAGCTAAAAGTGTTACCTTAATATTTTCATATATCCTGGAGGCATTAGTGCTCTTTGGTATGCATGCTACTCCTCTCTGCACCTGCCATCTGGGGCAGAACAAGTTGAAAGTTTTCAATATGAGTGTTTTTGGTGGAAATGCTAAATTATTAATATGTGTATCTAACTCATTTTCTCAGTCTCCATGGTCTAGAGATTGTTTGGTTCAGCGAGTGATAGGATATTCCTGTAACTACGATAGAGAGGAATGAGATGAGAAAGACCTGCTCTATATATCAAATGTATATTTTCAGTTTGTAAAGCATAATTAAAATTAAATCTTAGGCACATAATAAAAAATGTAGACTAGAACTTGGCTTCTAATTGTCATGTGAACAATTCCAATTATATGTTTTTTTTTACCCTTATTAACTTGTTTGGTAGATTATTCCAAACAATTAACATTCCTTGAGTAAACACATTTTTTTCAGATGTATGTTCCAAACTTTGGATTTATTTTCATTATCACTACAGTCATAGTTTCTACGTTCTGATTTCTAGAAAATTCTAGATTAATCTTATCTGCCATCTTTACAATTTTACATACTTTGATGAGATCTTTCAGGCTAGTTCAATCTTTTTTCATAGTTCATCCCTTTTCAGCCTAAGATCTTTGCTATGCCCCTATTACTAATAATAATAATCCTTGAATTTGATATAGTGCTTTTCATGTCTTCTAGACGTCTCAAAGCGCTTCACAGAATATACCGTAATGTGAATTGACTGTATATTTTGTGGGTGAAACGCAGCAGCCAATTGCGCACAGCAGCGTCCCACAAACAGTTGTGGATTGAAGTGGCCAAATTATTATTGTTTTTTTTCTTGAGGGATTATTATCAGGTGTGTGGAGTAAGGAAACTTGCCCAACGTTTCGTCCTGCCGGGAATCCAACCCGGGTCTCTTGCTTGTGAGGCAAGTGCTTTAACCACTGAGCTACAGGACTCCATATAAATTCATATAAATTCATATAATTAATTTATATTCTTCAATGCATCTTTCATGTACTACATTGAAACAATAGAAACTTGCATTTATATAGCGCCCTTCACTCAGAGTAGTGTCTTAACCATATTGTAATACTTAACCGTATAATGATTTGAGCTGGAGATTTTCCATATTTCTTCGCAATCATCAGAATTCTTGGGTCTTCCAGTAGCTTTGGTTCGTCTGGCGTGACCCAGGGACGATCAGGAGATCCAAGAGGACTGTAGGCAATAACAGCTAGCCCTCGCTTAGTGCAGTGCTCCACAAGCTGCTTTTGGATTAGGTATGGATGACATTCAACCTGCAGCACAAAGCAATAAACTGTTTATAATCCTTGCATTTGATACCGTGCATTATCATGTCATCGAGACATATCAAAGTGCTTCACAGGATTCTACTGTGAATTGAACTGACTGTATATTTATAGGCAAATGTGCTGGCCTCTTTTCACACAGCAGATTTCCCATAAACAGCCATGAAGTGAATGATCAATATTATCTGGAGGATAATCTCCCTTTTTTTTCAGGTGCAGATGTGGTAATAATCCTTGCATTTGATATAGCGCCTTATCATGTCTTTGAGACACCTCAAAGTGCTTCACAAAATATACTGTAAAGTGAAATTACTGTACATTTTGTGGGCGAAACGGAGCAGCCAATTGCACACAGCAGTGTTCCACACAGTCGTGGATTGAAACACCATATTATTATTATTTTTTTTGAAGGAATTATTACTCCCGGAAAAGCGATCCGCCAATCAACTAACAACCGGGTTCCTACTTACTGCTAAGTAAGTAGAGGCGTGTGGAGTAAGGAAACTTGCCTAACATTTCGCCCTGCTGGGACACTGATTTATATAAACAAACTAGATAGTTGTCTCTGTGGATTACAGGGTGGTGTAGGATAGTGGAGGTCCAACATACTAGTTGTATGCAGTGGAATTGAAGGATAATGGAGTCCTGTAGCTCAGTAGTTGGAGCACTTGCCTCACAAGCGAGAGACCTGGGTTCGATTCCCGGCAGGGTGAAACCTTGGGCAAGCTTCCTTACTCCACACGCCTGATAATAATCCCTCAAGAAAAAAAAAATTATAATTCGATCACTCAATCCACAACTGATTGTGGGACACTACTGTGTGCAATTGGTTGCTGTGATTCGCCCACAAAAATACAGTCAATTCACTTTACAGTATATTCTGTGAAGCACTTTGAGTCATTCAGAAGTCGTGAAAAGTGCTATATCAAATTCAAGGATTATTATTATTATTATATGACTCTCCAATCACAAGGCAGAGTTCCAATTTTATCAAGCCACAATGGAGGAGGGGTTAAAATACTTTTTAAAAGCAATAAGATGCTAACCATCAGTACTCACAAAACCTAGTATAGACCGGAATACTTTTAGAGATACTTTTACTTTTACTTGTCCCAGAGAGGATCGACTTCAATATCCTCACCCTTGTCTTCAAATTCCTCCACTCCTCTGAACCACCCTACCTCTCTGACCTCCTCTCTCCTCAAAACAGCGCCCGTTGTCTTCGTTCCTCCGGGTCTGGCCTCCTCCTCTTTTCCTATTTTCAGGTCTCTGCTGAAGACCTTTCTTTATGACCGTGCCTTTGGTCACCTTCCTCCCCCTCCTCCTGGCTCGGCCCCGGGATCCTTTATTGTGAAGCGCTCTGAGACGCCATCCGGCGTGGAAGGCGCTACATAAATCCAAGTTGTTGTTGTTATTACAGCCATTTTACAGATATTGCTGATACGAACCTGATTAACAACTGGTTTGTATGTTGCAATAGAAAGCAGATCATCTATTTGGTTTGCATTGAAGTTGGATAGACCGATTGCTTTGGTCAAACCCTTTTCCACTAGTTTTTCCATGGCTTTCCAAGTGTCCTTGTAATCAGTATCAGAGTAACGCATTGTTCCATCTTCATTCTTTGGAACTAGATTATCACCCCGTCTAAAAGGACAGAAACAGTTAAATGGATGGGTAGGAGGCTGTTTGCTCTCTTGTTGGCATTTGATTTGCCTGGTGATAACAACAGCTTATAGCACGCCCTTCACGCATGGTACCGTCCTAGAGCAACTGTTGAGGATGATTTGTCCACTATTAGCAAACTGAATAGGGCTTGCATGCAGCAGCACTGTTTTTAAATGAGTAACATACAGATCCTGTAGATATAGTTAGAGGGTATGGGAGAGGGGATTAGAAGGGATGAGGCTCATTTGGAGTAAAAGCAGCAGCTTAGAAGAGTTGGGCTGAATAGCCTGTTACTGTGCTATACAATATATGTGATTCTGTGCAATCCTTGGTGTCAGATTGACAACAACAACTTGCACTTATATAGTGCCCTCCATGCAGGGTAGTGGCTCAGAGTGTCACAAAGATACAATAGGGAACCCTGGCTGTCCAAACAAATAAGGTCAAGACTGCAACTCTTCACTCCATCCCATTATGTGGAGTCCTGTAGCTCAGTGGTTAGAGCACTCAATTTGCAAGTGAGAGACCTGAGTTCAATTCCAGGCAGAGGGCGAAACCTTGGGCAAGTTTCCTTACTCCACACAGAGCCTAATAATAATCCCTCCAAAACCAAAAACAATAATAAATTGGTCATTTTCAATCTACGACTGTTTGTGGGACATTGCTGTGCGCAATTGGCTACCGCGTTCGCCCACAAATATACAGTCAATTCACTTTACAGTGTGTTCTGTGAAGCGCTTTGGGACGTCCTCCCGACGTGAAAAGCGCTATATCAAATGCAAGGATTATTATTATTATTATTAAGATTTGGGAGGTTTATAATGGTAATAATGGTTGTCTCAAAACTCAAAACACTGTTCTGAAGGCTAATTTGTTGTATTTCTAAATTTCTTATATCCATGGAACTCGGTGTCAGAAATAGGTTGTATTAGAATTGATTTCCCGTGGGTTGGTGTGACATATTTCTGGTTACTAGAAGGAGTTTCCCATTTACGCAACATAAATTTTTTATCGAGGAATCTCGTTAAGAACCACCACAAATTATACGCCATATTCTACCTTTCTGTACCATGATGGACACATCCAACTCTTTGCTATCTCATTGGTTGTTTCACAGAGAATCAGTTGAAGATCTAAGTGTATATAGTTCGCCCTTTAGTACATGACGCGTAACACTGGAGAAAAGACACTGAGGCTAGAGTCAGGAAGATAAGAAGATAAGAATTTGCTAGACAAAAGCCAAAGTTCCATCCAATTCGCCTTCCATCATCCTAGCAGTCGCTTGCATATGTCAAACTGTATCCCACAATATTTTATTTCCCAAAAGGAATCTATTGAATTTGCTTTTGAAAGTAAGTTAGATAAATTAGATAGGAAAGCAGGTACACGAGGAGGCCAGTTTATTAGATCTTGGCAGATCTTTTCATCCCAAAGCGACACTCTATTGCCATAACCCTTAATACCTCTACTATCCATCTGTCTATCTCTCTTATTCCACCCTTTCTGGATCAGGGCATTCCACATCATTGCAAATCTCTGCGTGAAGAAGAACGCCTCCTAACCTCAATTCTAACTTTCTAGTTCTGATATTCCATACTCTGTAAATACATTTATTAACTCAGTCTGTGATCGACCTAAATGTGGGATTACAACAACAACAATAACAAGATTACATTTGTATAGTGCCTTTCAATTACAGTTTGCATTGTTGAGCAAGCCTGGGAAAAGTTACACCACATAGGAAAATCCATTGTGGTTGGAATTATCCTTGCTAATGTAGTGCATTGTAAATTGAAGCAGGGCATTGGTACCTACTCAAACGCCATAGGCCAATGAATCAAATACAGATCCAGGTATTCCAGCTGTAGATCTTGCAGTGTTTTACGGCACGCTGGCTCCACGTCCTCTGGGTGATGTTTGGTGTTCCACAATTTGGATGTTACAAAAATGTCCTCACGCTTGATGGACTAAAGAGAGAACAAGGCAAATACAATACAACAATTACATTTGTCTAGCGCCTTTCACGTCAGGAGGACGTCCCAAGGCGCTGGACAGTCTAGGATTTGTACCCGAGTGGGGGGAGACGGGGATTGGGGTAAGGGAGGATGGAAGGCCAGTGGGTGGCTGAAGAGGAGGGTGTTGAGACGTGCCTTGAAGGAAGCAAGGTGGGGAGGAGGGTGAAGGGAATGTGGGATGTAGTTCAAAAGGATGGGGGCAGAGAGACTGAAGGTCCGATTGATGATGGTGGGGCGTGCCGGGTGGGGGACATGGAGCAGGCTGGAGCCTGCTGAGTGGAGAGAGCAGACAGGTTGATAAGGGTTTAGCAGGTCACTGAGGTAGGAAGGGGCAAGGCCGTGGAGGGCCTTGAAGGCAAGGACGAGGATTTTGAAATCTATCCTCTGAAGGATGGGGAGCCAGTGGAGCCGGGCGAGGGAGAGATGATGGGGTCACGGAGCCTGGTGCGGGAGAGGACTCGAGTTGGGAAGACCGACAAGGAGTGTGTTTTTTTGCTACAATTAATTTTTATTTTCTGTTGCAGATGGGTTGAGTGTAACATGAGTATTCCCAGGTTATAAAGTGACCACTTTTTTAACATGGGCAACATCTTTTTCCGGAGTCAGTTAGCTCTTCAATACTGCCAGTGACCTGGTCAATGTATCCAGAAGCTGGAGATGCCAGGTGAATGAAACCCATGGCATTCAACAGATCTCTGACTACTTTTCATGGCATAAAATACACTTTATTTTTATTGGTGAAAAGGCCCATGTGATATAGCAACACCTCATCAATGGGAGTTGAGTTCCTTTGGTATCTTTACCTTATCAGCTCCCACTTTTTCATGGAAAGCTTCTCCAACTTCATGCTCATTGCTGTAAGCATAAGCACAGTCTAAATGCTGGTAGCCAGCTTCAAGGGCACACCAGACTGCTGATTTCAGCTGAATGAAGGCAAATAAGAAATATTTCTATGTTTGGGTAATCTAATATTTTGATTAAAAGATGATAATAATGGAATTGAAAAGGTACTTCTCAGTAATGGCCAATACATATAATAAACATTTACATTTGCATACAACAACAACAAAATTACATTTGTATAGCGCCTTTCACGTTGGATGTCCCAAGGTGCTGGACAGACAGAGTTACTGACCCAAGCTGGGGGTCGGGGTGGGGGAGGGTGGAGGCCGGCGGGGGGTAAGCAGGGAGGTCGAAAGCATAGTTGAAGAGGGTCTTGAGGTGGGTCTTGAAGGTGGCGAGGGAGGCGGTGGGACGGAGTGACTGTGGGATGGAGTTCCAGAGGGTGGGTGCAGAGTGGCGGAAGGCCCGCCCGCCAATAGTGGGGTGAGCAAGACGGGTGCCGTGAAGCAGGCCAGAGCCCGCTGAGTGGAAGGAGCGAACAGGATGGTAGGGGGTTAGGAGGTCGGAGAGGTAGGGGAGAGCAAGACCGTGGAGGGCTTTGAAGGTAATGACCAGGATCTTGAAGGTAATGACTAGGATGTATCCTCTGTGTGATGGGAAGTTAGTGGAGTCAGGCGAGGATGGGGGTGATAGGGTGGCGGAGCCTGGTGCAGGAGAGGACACGGGCTGCAGAGTTCTGGATGATCTGCAGCCTGTGAAGGGAGGAGTTGGGGGGGGCCCGACAAAAAGTGAGTTTGCATAGTCGAGCCTCGATGTAATGTAATGAACATAATGCATAATTGGAAAGATGTCCCAAAGCGCTTAACGTTGTTGGCTGGGAACCCAAGCTGGGGGTGGGGAGGGGAAAGATGAGAACTGTAAGTGTGGTTAAAGAGGTAGGTCTTGAGAGCGCCCTTGAACAAAGTGAGGGAATGGAGAAAGGGCCTTGCAATGTAAACTGTGTTTGTGTAGGAATTTCTACATGTTACGTCAACTCCTGAAGCCTAGACTCCCACCCAGGAGCTCCACAGAGAAAACATCTTTTTCTGGTGATAAGGTGATAAGGGCCTAGTGATGCTACTGTTTTTCTCAGGAACCCATCTTAAACTCCATTGTCTCTTCACCTCGGGAATTCTCAGGTTGAAATTAAGCCCGGACTGATGGAATTCAATCTGGTCTCACATGGTAACTGGATGGGTTAGAAATGATGGGAGTTTGAGAAATGTGAACCCATTTCCCAGTGGTCGTGGATCAATAGAACAAATCCACTCATACACAACAACAAAGTGCGTTTATATAGCACCGTGCCTGCAGGATAGCATCTCAGAATGCTGTACAGTGGCAAGGTTCAATGTTGAATAAGGGAGAAGGAGAGAGGGAGATGACAAAAGGTGAGGTCAAAGAGGTAGATCTTAAACACACATTGACTATCTCACTTAAAAAGGCCATATGAAATTAAAGAATTTACACTGATGTAGGGTTTTTCTGAGGTTGAGGGTTGGCAATATTGAGGAGAAATTTCACCTGGGTCTAGATTACAAATTATTGCACTGAACCTTAACTTTGAAGCAAGGTTTCTGTAGTTCTTAAAAGAATTTACAAAAAAGCTTTCAAAATGAAGACAGTATTTACTAATTTGACAGATTATGAATGTTCTGAAAAGCCAAGAATAAAGAATTAATCCAGACCAACGTGAAATTTCCGCAAGTCAGTGTACTTCAATGCAACCAGTAAGTGCAATATTGGTGTTATGAGTTAGGAGATGATTTGCACAGGATTTAGGATTATTTGGGACCATGAAATTGTTATGAATTAACCGTTTATCTGACTTATAAAATATGACTACTGCAAAGAAATCTAAGCGTTTTTTGGTAGAGAACTGAATGGGACTCAGGTCATGTACAATTTAGGTGATTATATACGATTTATAAGGAAGCGACTTGTGCAAGTTTTACTGTAGGTATATCGATTGACTAACATACAAATACCAGAGTTTTTAGCGTAGTACCTGGCCAGGCGAACTCTTCCATGTTCCTAGACCAACCAATGGCATTTTCTGCCCTGTTCCCAGTGTGACATAGACACAACTCATTTTCAATACCTGCTTAGAATTGTGCGTAATTTTGTCAATACAACATTGAGAATATACAAGTCTGTAAAAACACAAAATACAGTGCAACCCTGTTGCACTAAAACCCCCGATTAAGACACACATGTCTGTCATTCATGGTTGCTTGGACATAGTTTAAGCTCCCAATATTGAAATGCAGTGTCCCAGTGCAGATGGCATGGTTTCCATGGTGATTTGCAGGGATTAGCTCAAACTGTACTTTGGAACGGATATGTGATACATGGAGAACAATCTATTTCTTAAAGAATTCCTGACCACTGAATGGTTACAGATCTTCATTCGCAGTAATTTGTATTTATATTCAAAGTAAATGAACTAAAAAAAGTTACGTGTTATTTGCTAGTTTTTCCATAAATATTTAAAAATCCTGTGTTTGACAAGGATTAGTTCACAATGAATAGATAACAGTCAATCTGACAGGCCTTTCAGCTGTTGTTTTCCATGTCCGAGTTTCAAAATGTCTGCTGAGTCAGCCAGTCCACAACCTCGCAAAATGGCTGCTGATTATTCATCAATAATCGGTGAATATTGGGATTCGGTTTGTTCCCAGTTTGTCTGACTTGTGTAAATTGTCATGTTCAGTCCTGATTTCTACTGAATGTGCAGAAGGTTTGGGGGGGGAGGGTGGTAAGAGAGGAGGTTTTTAACAAAGGAAACTACACCAGTTTACTTTTAACATACAATATGTTTTGGGTTCCTTGCTGACTTTGTTGTTTCACTTGCTTTTCCATTGCATTTCCTCTATTTGTGCAGATTTTGAATCTAAGTGCAGTTTCCATGTTTTCCAATTGTTTCCATGCTAAAAATATTGGGAAGATATATTCTGGTGCTCCCAGGAAGAAATTATACCACTTTGCAATTCTCGTACAAACATGGAGCTTACCCAAATACTGTACCATATCCCTTCCCATTCAAATCCCATTATATAGAATTCATGATCCAGTAAATTGGTAAATGTACAATGGTTTCTTTTAATGTTTTTTTAAAAAACATGTTTTAACAGTTGTGACGGTCTCAAAACTGCTTATTGCAATCTCACGAAGAAAATACTTTTTCTCACAAACTGGCCGAGAGAATGTTGAGAGCAATGTCCCCAGATAACCTGGAGCAAGGAAAACAGCGGCTGACACAGTGACATTGGCCAAGGTTAGGGAGCAAATTGCAAGATACCTTCTGTAGATCTTTAGATCTTGAGAAACATTGAGTGTTTCTCAAACAATATAGCTGTACTTGTAAATGTTATTTTTATTGTTCTTATATCACTGTAAATAATTTTAGAGCTCTTGCCCCATATCAGTTAAAGAAAGAATGCTCTGGGTTAAAAAAAAACATAGAAAAGTTTTGATAACTAAGATAAGCGAGAAATACTTACTATTTTATGGCAGAGAGTAAAGCAGGAGACTGGTAAGCAGGTTGTCTGAGGTACAAAGACTGACAAATTTCTCTGCTCGTGCTTTTTTACCTGCTTCTGCTCAAAAAGTTTAGTTTTGTAAATAATTGATGAAAACCAGTAAAATCTGTTAGTTGCCAAAAATCTAACAGGATTAGTTAAAGGATCACAGTTTAAACTAGAGAGTCAAATAATCTGCAGCAGTTTGTTCCCAACGGATCCTTTGTCAACCATACCCCCGCAGGAGAAATTAATTCACGCAAATTCACCTGTGGAACAGAATGGGAGGACGGTATTTTAGAAGGTTGTGATGAAATGGGCCTTCTTCATATGAACCTCTCGTTGTGTGTTGCAGCCTCAAATGCACAGTGCTGTAGGGTAGCAATTATACCACTGATAATCCCTGCATGTTGATTTAAACTGTCCTTCAGTAGGGAGGTGCAGAGTAGAGGTAAAGCCCTTCCTCACAAGCAAGGGAAAATGAAAAGTAATCCCAGGTCACTGTTGTTCAGAGCAGAATAGTTCAAAGTAGAGCAAATCTGACGTAGTAATAATCTTTGCATTCGATATCATGTTGAAACATCTTACCACACTTCAGTGAGAACAGAATAGTCAATCCACTTTACAGTATATCCCGTGACGTCCTTTGAGATGTATTGAAGATGTGATAAAACATTACATCAAACAAAAGGATTGTTATCATGTTGCAACCAAACATGGCAGCCAATTTTCACATAGGAATGTTCCGCTAAGTCAACAGGTCAGAGATGTAAGCTAAAGACCCTCCTTTTTGACTGCACCTTCAACCGCCTTCTTAGCCCTCTGCCCTCCCTCAGCCCAACCCTGGCCCCTCACGCTCGCGTCCTGATCCCTGACTGTTCACCACCTTGAGACGTCCTCCCGATGTGAAAGGCACTTTACAAGTGTAATTTTTGTTATTTTGTTGTGAGGTGAAAGATCAATTTACCTGGAGAATTATTGCCCCCTCCTACATCTCTGACCTGCTGACCCCCTATCAACTTGTCTGCTCCCTCTACTCGCAGGCTCTGGCCTGCTCCAGGTCTCCCGCCTGACCCGCCCCACAATCGGCGACCGGGCTTTCAGCCTCTCTGCCCCCATTCTTTGGAACCCCATCCCACAATCCTTTCACCTTGCACCCTCTTACCTCCCTTCAAGGCACGACTCAAGACCCTCCTTTTTGACAGCGCCTTCAGCCGCCTTCTTTCCCTTTCTGCCCTCCACGCTCGGGTCCTGACCCTTGACTGTTCAAACCCTTGGGATGTCCTCCCGATGTGGAAGGCGCGTTACAAATGTCATTTTTGTTATTGTTGTTGCATTGGCTAGGATACTGGGAGAAACACTTCTCTACCCTCTGTTGGGAGAGCGCATGGAGAGGCAGTTTCTAACAACAGGAGCAAACACATGAAAAAAGGCTCATTGTTATAAAAAAAATCTACATTTAAGAGATTGGTATTCTGTACGTGGTTTCCCAGAAGGCAATTGATAAGGTGCCATACAAGAAACATCTTGAGAAAAATGAAAGGATATATTAAGGAGTTTGGCAGCATAGCTCACAGGACTATTAATTACATTCATTTTCCTGTTATTGGGATCAAGCTAATGGGTTCATAGTTTCTAGGCAAGGAATGACTGTCAGCATTTATGATTCTGGGAACCACATTTGCTTGTTTTCTGCATATTGAAAGGTAATTTTATTTTTTTAAATATATTTTCAAAAAATTCCTCATTCAGTAAGCCATCTGCTGATTTTAATGTGGTTATTAAACTGTGCTGCTCAAACAAAATAGCAAATGCTTTCGAAGAAAGCCCTGAGACTTTCATTCAGCTGTCAGTATTCTTATCAATAAAAACACTAAAAGGAAACTACATTTTCCACCATTCATTGAATATGAAGTCTCTAAACAAGCAATATAAACTTTTATGCAGTATATATTAAGCTAAATAGTTTTACAACACATTCTTACATTTTGGCAAAAGAAGTTCATTGGTTTAGTCAACAATAAAAATACAGCTTGAAAGTTGTTGTTAGTGACAAACCATTATGTCTGAGGTTTTTCTGATTGGTGCAGTTTTGGGACTAGCAGCACAGGAGGAGTTCTAACACAGTAACAATCGGTGGTTGTAACATGACCACATATGGCCTCGCAAATTGGAAAACATTTATGATGAGGGAAGCACGGTCATTAGATATGCCGAAAGGCTACCATATCTGGTTAAAACTGTTTGTATTACTCATATAGTTGTAGCATTTACAACGCTGGAAAAAATGTAGTTGAAAAACAGATTTGATGAAGTCATCTAAAACCATATTAACTCTTATTGGTGAATCTGATTTAACCGTGCAAACTTGTTTGATAAGTGTAAAGCTATGAGAACTCCCAATAATTAAAGCATGAGGTCTTTGTTTTGCAAACTGTTCCCTAAATATTATTGAAAGTTTTTGTTCTTCTGGGGTAGGGGCAGCAATCAAAAGTGTATAAATTGCTTAACAATTTTGTGTGACGTGCGTGATGTATATAAAGCATTATAGTGCTATACCAATAAACAAACTTCAGCAAAGAATTTCTGGAGCAATGCCCAGTATCATCCATTGTTTTGTAGCAGTAAGTTAATATCTTTGCTATAGCAACGACTAGTGCTAAATTTGAACTTGGAGCAGATTTGATGGGCTGAATGACCTTTTCTTTTTCTGTGGTGTAACATTCCATGATTGTGTTAATAATTGCTGAAAATTCAAAGCACTCAGCATAACTATATGTAGTTTTCACAAATCAATAGGCTACAAAATACAGCCAAATTAAAAACTGGAACTTGGTATCACAAGTAGTTGTGATGTTCCCATCAATCAGAAAATAATAATGTTATACTAATAATCCTCGCATTTGATATAGGTCTCCGAGACGTCTCAATACACTTCACAGAATATATTTTAAAGTTAACTAACTGTATATTTTATAGTTTTATAGTTTTCCCTTCCTCATAAAAATATATTACAAATCTTCAGCTAAATATCAGAGCTCAAAGACATCAGAAATACTGACATGTCAAAATATTCTAAGCACATGCTCAATATTACAATCATATTCAGAGTACTGTGTGCAATTGTTAATCCTGCTCAGCAACTCTACAATAATTATCGGCATATTCTAATATTCTAAACAATTAATCTATAATTATTGGTTGAACACTAAGGGGGACAGATTATTGACTGAAAGGTTCAGAGGTTGATTGTAAGTTCGTGCAGCTGAGCTATTTGTAGGACATTTTGTAAAGGACAAAGATTACCAGCTGCTAAGTTTATTAGCAAACCTCTTTGGTAGAAGTAGAGAGAGAGAAATGTCTGACTTTATTTTTCCAAGAAGCATTCTTCACATACCACCATAGTTAAGCCAGGCTTGGTTCATCATTTGAGTAAACAAAATTGCCATCACTGATTCCACTAACAATGCCCATAATATTTCAGCACCAATTAATCAGCTCTTCCTGCTCCATTATGAATAGGGAGTAAAGTACATGCATTGAAGAGGCATTGAAAGAGGGACCGAGTTGTTCAATGACACTTTGTTCAATAGCCGCCTTTGTACAATGACACACCAGAACACAATCATATTGTTGTCCGAAACACTGTCTAGTCATGTACTACATCTTCAAGGTGTCTCAGGCCCAGTTGTATCGCTTATGTTGACTGATGTACAAAGTGGTCTGTCCAGTCTTCTTGGACTAAGCCCACCTGCTTCTTATATGGATAATTGACTAATACATCAGCATCAATTAAAGTGATGAGTGAAATAAGGTGGCATCTCAAGGTTTGCTGGGCACTTCCCACGATGATGGGAAGTCACCTTGATGCCAAGCTAAACCCACAAACAACTTGCTGCTTTTGTCCCTGCTTCAATCTGTGGGTGAAACCTAGCACCTTTGATATAGATATAGAATTGTTTGATGCTCTGCGAGTGCAGCTCAAATTCCTTCAGCTGTTCCTCTGTGTTGTAGTTCTGGGGTGAACTAACAGGTGGAGCCAGACAGATTGGTAGAAAACTATTCTTTAAGCTATGGGGTTGGCACCCAGATCCATCGATTCCATTTCTACCTCACTGGTAAAGTAAATTATTCTGAAACCAGTGTTGAAAGAAATGTAGGTATTATTCTCCAAAGGACCCATGAGTGGTCCTGGTGGTTATGAAGGCTGTTGGTAAATAATGTGTTCCTTGCTGGAATTTCTGCCACATAAATCAAATGGTTTAAACTCCTGCTCCAGTAAAGGACTTCACTCTTGAATTCAGATTTCCATATTTAGATAAATAATGCTTCTTCCACAGAGCTTCACTTATGAGAGTCTCACAAAGCTGAAATTGCTTTCATTGCAAAAAGATTTGGGGAAAAGATCAAAAAGCCTACATCTATTTTTAAAAATTAACAAAAGGTTTGCATTAGGCTTGCAGTTAACTTGTGCAACATACGAGAGAGCAAAATAACAGAATACCAACAAAACAATCAGGAAAGGAAAACTGCACTCAAAATGCACTTTATTTTTGTAGAATTAAAATACAGATGGGGATATTAAAACAGTGAACCATTTATATGTTTGAAAAAGAACCTGTGTGGATTTTTCTTTTTTGAAAAGTCTCTTCAAATCAATAAAAAAATAAAATAAGATTCAGGAACAAGACTCGACATTCTTTCCAAGTAACACCTGTGTTACTTTTCATTCTTTTCTTATTAGCACAGCATAAAGTTTGCAATGTCAAAATACTCGTTGTATGGGGGCCACTTTGCTTTTTGTCAATTCCACCAAATGTGATTAAAGATTGTGTGTGTGCAAACAGCAGGTTAAAAATAAAAAGGCATCCAGCACTGGCAACTTTAAAGTGCTCCATCAGTGCTGATATACTAATACTGTTAAATAATTCATAGGAATAAAAATGACTGATTTCACAAATTTTCATTACCATTCTACAACTTTTAACCATTGCTCATAAATTCATATAGTCTTATGAACACATAAAAAGGTAGAACTGTTTCAAAATTGTTAAGGAAAAACAAATTGTATTGAATCAGAACAAGTATTGCACTTTTCAGGTTGGCAGTTTGCTATGATTCACAGAGACGTGTAAATTAAATAATCTTAGTTTGCATTTGGTGAAGAGATTAATTTATCAGACTACACTAGAAAGGTTGATATTTACTCCATTCAAGCATAGAAAGCAGCAACAGATACTCAATAGCAAAAACAATCTGCCCTGAGTTACAGTGCGCAGCTAATTAAAATAAAAACTACTTTTCCACAGGTTTTTTTTTAATATATAGATTACCTCATGGGATCGAAACAAAATCATCCCTTGGCTCCCTGCTGAAATGTTTCTCCCTTTCCTTCCCTTCCCACAAAATACAGATTTTGAAGTTGACATCAAAAGCCATGCATCACCAACTTCAGTTTATTGCACGAGTATAAATTTGCAAAATTGGTTTAAGTTCATGTCTGTTAGATGGATAGCAAGTGTTGAACCTGGTTGAAAGCAAAAATAAAAGTGATTTGGCTGGAGTGTGCAGAAGTGATCAATACCATAACTGTGCTGCAAAATAGCTGGTAAAATATTAATGGTTGATAATGACAAAATTTTATGAAAAGCGTGGAATCTGATTTCAGAGCTGTAAGTAAGTGACAGGAAAAGAAGTAGGAAGGATCAAAAATCGAATTTAAAAACAGAAAAAGCCTAAGCTAAACATGATAGCAATAGATTGAATTATAAACAAAACCTGGTTATAACAGAGCACAAAATGAGGAAAACCTAAAATATTTTTTGGTAAAATATCTATCAATTATGCAAACTGCAACAAGAGGCTAAAGGTAATGTCTTAAAGTCAAACTCATATATAAAAAAGATGCTACAAAGTGGGATATGCAACATATAGTATAAATGTTTGTAAGCGGTGGGAGAAGGAGTTTTGAAGTTCTCCTGAAAATTCCAGCTCAAATCTGTCCTCATGTTAATAGCACTAGTTCCATGGGAAGCAAAAAGAGAACCTGTGGAATAGCTAATCTCTATTACCTTAACCTCTCAAAGACGGTGGTTTACCATTCACAGTTCACTGATAATTTCATAACGTAAATCGGTAAAGTATATATATTTTTTTAAAAAAGCTACATGCTGGATGTATCATGATCTCGGTGCATAGACACACATCTGAAATTCTGAATTAGATTTGTATGGTTACAGATTTTTTGGAACTGTTCACTTTTAACTTCTTAATTGCAATTCCTTCACCAGAAATATTTTAAAATTCTTACAACTTGCCCAAAAAAGTGTTTACTTACATAAAGTATGGCAAGGCCTTTTTTTTATACAAGGTTTGTTTCCTCTACCATTATTTGCATTAGACACTCAAATAAAATGCAAATAAAAAATTGAAAAACCAAATTCAATTCCCTCGCATTCTGAATTATGTCAAAAAATACAAGCCAATATCAACTTACATTACAGTCGAGTTTGCATAATGTTAAGTTGCCCATTGATATGATCCACATAATGTTATACTGCGTTTTGGGATGCTATCCTGCGTGAGGGGCGCTATATAAATGCAAATTGTTGTTATACTGGCTGTCGGTCCCGGCCGAGGCTGGTATGTAAACATTGAAGTTCACGTATTGTTAGAGCAGTTATAACTCATCTAATATTATGCAAATTTGCGGTCGCCATTAACAAAAGATGGAATAATGTTGTACCCAGGGGTTTAGTACAGCTGGAGCAGTACGGGGGTGCTCCGGCACCTGAAATCCGTAATGAAGAGGCAGGTGGATGATCCAATGGGAACGCAGGGCAGGTTGATGGAGAGGCAGATGGTCCATTGAGTAGAGGCTCGTACAGTACAGTACATCCTTGACAGTCCAGCGCTTTGGGACATCATCCCAACATGAAAGACACTATACAAATGTAATCTGTTTTTGCAGTATTTTAGCGCTCAGTTATTTTTGTGATTCAATTTCAAATATAATACAATCAAAAATAACGGATTTACTTTTCTTAAAAAAATGTATTACTGTGAAATTAAAGTAAAATATTGGATTTTTCTTATACTTCAGAACAGTCTATAATTTTTTTACAAATATTTATAAGGGAAGTTTCCCTGTTGTTATAATATGTATACTTTTATAATGTTATCCAGTCCGACACAGTAAACATTAAGCAGACTCGACTATAATTTGTTTACAAAATTTCAAACTCTTATGTGCAATGGATTTTTGTAAACTTGCACAAGTTATTCTGTGGTCCAGATAAAACCCTACCATGTTATGGCACTGATGCCTTTCACTCCCCACTTGTGTTAATTTTAGTTTACAATTATCCAGTTATTTTTCTTAGATTGTAATGTTTTGTAAAAAGCTCAACTTTCAAGTCAGCAATTCTTGATTCAGATTATTCAGATATTTAACTTTCTCTGGACTGGTCAACCCTAGCTTTAAAGAAATAGCTTTAAACCATATATTTTTTAATTCTTAGTTCAGACACTTATGATTTTTTTTAAAAAAACTGTTCCAAAATGATTGCAGAATGCGTTAAGATTTTTACTCTGCCAAATAGGTTTCACAGTGCTTTCTCACACTTACCATTATTATGCTTACAAGGTTTAGCATATTAAAAGAATTGGATTTAAATTTTTGACATAAAATAGATTTCTTTAAGAGATATTACATTATATTAGAAAATGTATGATCCTTTTCTCAGTTCCTCAAACTTCTGACAGTATCAAGTATTGCTCGGATTTCGGTTCTATGAGATAGGAAGGTGTTGCTTCAGGATTTCTTTCGTTGTTGGAGGCATTTTGTCAGGAAATTTTATCTGAAACTCTACTATATAGTCACCACGTTGTGTTGGAGTCTTAGGAAATGGCAACCCTTCTCCTCTCAGTCGCTTCACTGTTCCGGGCTTGATAATATCATTGCAAGGTAGGGGAATCACTCTGCCATCAATTGTAGGAATATTGACAGTACACCCACATAAGGCCTAGGNAAAAAGCAAAGTGATATTAGAAAAGGATAATTTAATCCAAAGAATCTATTTCCTGAGACATACACAATGGACACAGTGTGGATCTTAAAACAAAAGTTATTTCTAGTTAACAATATAATTATACTGCCTATAATAAAATAAAAAAGTCAAACTATAAATCTATTTGACCAGGGGATGAAGGGAAGTTTAGACTCTAGTGACCTGCATTTTTTTCTGTTTAATGTATTGCCAGAGTGAAAATATAAAAGGCTACCTTGTCCATTAAATGTGATTTTACTCAGGTTTGCATCCATTATAACCAAATTAACTTTATATTAGGTATCATCTAGTTATGGACGAATTCCTAGTTAGATATACCACATCCTTATCCAACAACTGGGAAGATGCAGTGGACTTGGATTGTACAAAGATTAAGACTATTCATAGAGTAAATTGTCATTTACTAGAATGTAAAGATGTTGTATCCTACAAGAATATTTAACTGATGTAAAATACAGTGGTGAGTTTCAGTATTAATTCTGATATTGGCAGACCAGTAACATTACCATAAATAGGTTCAAATATAAAATCAGTTTGTGCTAACAATTTAAATTGATTAAAAAAAATGATATTCACAAATTCATATGTTGGAAACAATACCTTGAACTTAATTTAAAATGATGATTAGAATTCAGCCAGGAAATGTGGTGGGATACTGACACCCTTTAGCTCCAGTAATGGAATTTGATTAGCTTAGACCGATAGGCAGAAATGGTACTTGTAAGGGTTCTATGTGAAGTAAATTGATCGTCTCAAATCAGTATATAGGGAGCCACAGCATCTAACTGATTGAGCATACTTATTCAAAGGATAAAAGAATAGTTGGCATAAGAAGCAGAAAACTTCACAATGATAATAATAATCTTACAATATGGTGCCTTTTCATGTCACTGAAATGCTCAAAACACTTCACAAGATTTACTGCAAAATGTAGTGACTGTACTTATAGCAAACATGGCCGCCAATTTACACTTAGCAATGTCCCACAAACAGCTTAGAATTGAATGACTAATTTTATCTGGAGGATTGTTGGCTGGGATGTGAGGACCATCTAGTGATTATCCTCCTTGGGAAGAGGCGAGAAGTGGAGCTGTACACAAAGCTGGAAGCCTACTAGACAGTGCTGTGAATGGCAAGTTAAACTGTAGCAGTACAGTCACACCCTCTGAGGTCCCAAGCCTTGGCTCTTGCTAACCTGTGCAAAATAATTTCCAGAATCGGGTAAAACAGGGTCTGTCCCTCCAAGGAGAGATTGCACAATCCATTTCAGATACAGGGAAAATATATGGGAAACAGTTTGGTTTGGATGCTCTTAAGCATGGTGAAGGGTTCTGAATGAATCAGACTCACAGCTGACTAAACAAAACATTAGAACCCCCTCCCCTCTTCCTAAATAGTGCTATGAAACCTTTAACCTCCACCTGAACAGTCAGAATAACCTTGGTTTAACATCTCATCCATAGGGCAGCACCTCTGCCATTACAGCACTCCTCTCGCATTGCACTGAAATGTCAGCCTGGACAATGAGCTTGAAGGTCCACCTTAAACCAACAATCTTCTGACTAAGAGGCAAGAGTGCTATGAACTGAGCAAGGCTGACACTCTTTGGAGGTTGCTGTGTTAAAGAAACATTATTGGTATGAATTAGGAGGCTCTATGCTATAAATAGGTGTTCTGTTTTCAAGCACTATGGGGACAGAAACATTCTGAACTGGATTCAAAATGCAGTTTAGCTGAGGCAGAGAAATTATATTAATTAGATTATTATTAGATAATTATTTGGGGAGGACAAGTTACAGGGCTATGGGGAGAGGGAGCGGAATTGATTTGGATTGCTCTTTTCACGATGGGCCAAATGGTCTCCTTCTGTGCTGTATAATTCTATGAAAGGAGGAAGCTTTGAAGTAAGGAGGTAATCCTCCTGTAGTTTCAATACACTACATTTAGGACAAATAGGCTGTAGACTGTATTCTGCTGCAAAGCTTTGAATTAAATCAAAGATTGGCAGTGAGGGGGACCTTACTAAGTTTTACTTTGTTGTCCAAGTAGTAACCAGTCTGTCAGCAAAAACATGACACAGTTTGCTTCTCATAAGCTAGGCATGTTAAAGGACCATGCCCTGAGAGTAGCGCAGTACCATTTTTGGGCAGTTGAAAAGTACGTGGTTGTCACTGAGGTAATCATCACAAGGTACCAGTGAGAAAAGAATATGAAGCTAGCACAAAACAAGAGCTAAAATATTAGTGTTTTGCAGGAAGGCAACAAGACCCTCAGGATACAGAATTATGACAATTTTAAAAAGGTCCCATTGACAGCTTCACAGTAAATCCCAGGTTTCAGTTAGATAGTTTCATTTAGTTAATCAACGTACAGTATCTAGTTTCTAGTCAACGAAGTAAAACTATAATTAGATATAATGCATTTCAAAATAGCTGGTCCAAACAGAGGTCATGAGTGAGTTAAGAGTCTGCGCTTTTTGCAGCAGATGTATGTACCAGTCAGCTGTTCAGACAGAAAAAGCCTCCACTCTAGTTTATTTTTATTTTTCAACACACTACATTTAGGACAAATATTTTTTGTAACCTTTACTAGTAAATCGTTGAAGAATGTATTTTTTCAAAAATATGTAAAGAAAAAAATCAACTACTTATTTTTGATGTACTATTGATGATGTACAGTTGTTTTTCTGACTGGAGGGAAGTGTGCAGTGGTGTCCCCCAGGGGTCGGTATTGGGACCACTGCTATTTTTGATCTTTATAAATTACTTGGACTTGGGTATAAGGAGTACAATTTCCAAGTTTTCAGATAATACTAAGCCAGGAAAAGTAATAAACAGTGAGGAGGATAGTAGCAGACTGCAAGAGGACATAGACAGACTGGTAAAATGGGCAGACACATGGCAGATGAAGTTTAATGTGGAGAAATGCCAAGTGATGAATTTTGGGAGGAAGAACGAAGAGAGGCAATATAAGCTGATGGTACAATCTTAAAGGCGGTGAAGGAAGGGAGAGATCTGGGGGTTCATATAAGTAAATCATGTATGTACCAGTCAGCTGTTCAGACAGAAAAAGCCTCCACTCTAGTTTATTTTTATTTTTCAACACACTACGTGTTGGGACGTCCTCCTGACGTGAAAGGCGCTTTATAAATGGAATCTTGTTGTTGTTGTTGTTGTTGAAGGTGGCATGACAGGTAGATAAAACTGTTATAAAAAACATGGGATACTAGGCTTTCTAAATAAGGGCATAGAATACAAAAGTCAGGAAGTTATGATGAACCTTTGTAAAACACTGGTTAGGCCTCAGCGAGAGTTCTGAGTTCAGTTCTGGGCACCACACTTTAGGAAGGATGTCAAGGCATTGAAGAGGGTGCAAAGTAGATTTAGCAGGATGGTATCAGGAATGAAGGACTTCAGTTGTCAGAAAAGGCTAGAGAAGCTAGGATTATTCTCCTTGGAGCAGAGAAGGTTAAGAGAAAACTTGATAGAAGTTTTCAAAATTATGAGGGGATTTGATAGGGTGAACAAGGAGAAACTATTTGCACTGGTGGGTAGGTCGGTAACCCAGGGACACCAATGTGAAATAGTTGTTAAAAAAAAGGGAGGTGAGGAGGAATGTTTTCACACAGCGATTTGTTTGGATCTGGAGTGCATTGCGTGAAAGGGTGGTGGAAGACAATTCGATAACAACTTTTAAGAGAGTAGAATTATTTGGGGAGGACAAGTTTGCAGGGCTATGAGGAGAGCGCGAGGGAAATGGATTGATTTGGATAGCTCTTTTCAAAGAGCCAGCACAGACACGATCAGCCGAATGGTCTCCTTTTGTGCTATATAATTCTATGATTCTATACTCTGTAAATAACTGAATAGATAAATGAATTATTACAGCATTGCCAACAAACTCAGAGTCCGCCAGACAGCACGTACGAGTGGAAACCTGTACTTTGTTATTTATTGCCACCTGTAATGTTTATTGGTCATATGATGTAAGTTTACAACAAGAAACATTGGAACAGCTTTACCCAAAAATAAGGCAAAAAATATAGAACAAGATGCAGAAAAAGCAGAGTACTCAATTCTTGAAGCACATGTTATATCTTGCACTTGCAAGAATCATCGGAGAAGTGGGAGGGGTCTATGCGAGGACTCCTCTTGTTCCTTGTGTACATAATTGGCCTTGATTAGCAACTGAGTGCAAGGCAGTTAAATGTGTATTTGAAACCATTAGGAAACAGTGGATGCAGCCAAGAATTCACAAACTGAGCTCAACATGGTGCAATTATGGGCCAATCACTGGCATATGAAGTTCAACAGACAGACGCAAAGTGCTGCATTAAAGTAAAAGAGAGAGGCACACGTATTCCAACGACAGGATAACTATCATCAAGGGAGAAGTGATAATAATCTTGCATATGATATAGTGCCTCATCACACTGAACCATCTCAAGCACTTCACAATTACTGTTGTGCAGTGACTGTTCACAGAATGTGTACACAGATGTGGTCCATAAATAGTGAGGCGGTGAATGACCAATTCACCAAGAGGATTGGTGGCCAGGACAGCTAAAGAATTTCCCTTCTCTTTCAATTAGCATAAAGAGTTGATTAAATGGTTAAATTTCATCCAATGGGCAGCAACTCCAATAGTGCAGTGCTCTGCCAATGATGCACTGCATGGACTTTGCACTCAAAGTTCCCGACTATGGACGTGCAATCACAACCTTCTGACCAGGGAAAACAGGGAGACAGGCTGACACAGTTGAAAAAAAAACTAGGGCTGTCAGTTGACTTATCACTCACCATGTTGAAACGGTGTGAGACAACAATAAACAAAGCAATCATGATGCAAGACTTATTGCTTTATTGATAAATCAATTGAGTTCAGAGTTCCAGAAGTTATGCTCAAACTTGAAAATGCTCTGGTTAGGCTGTAGCTACTCCATATAAGTATGTCCAGGAAGGACCATAATCTTTACATTTCGTATAGTGCCTTTCACATCAGGAGGAGGTCTCAAAGCTCTTCACAGCATTTACTGTAAATTGTAGTGACTGTGTCATTTGTGAGCAAACTGGAGACAGTGAGGAAGAAATGTATCCCAATTGTGGTGATGTTGAACCATACAGAATGACTAAAGAAAGTTACTTTTTTTTAAATCTTGACAGTGATATCTCAAAGGAAACCTTATAGGGGTATATAAAATGCTAAATGGGATTAAGAAAATCAACCCAAACAGTACTTTCAGATATATCAAGATAACAGGATAAACAGGCACAGCCTTAGGGTTATGAGTAGATGTTTAGGAATAGACACCAGGAAGTATTTCTTTACTCTGAGGACAATTAACAACTGGAGCAGATTACCAGGGAGTAGTATTTTTTCTGATCTGGACTGGAATGCACAATCTCTCCGGGGAGGGATGCATCCTGTTTATCTAATCTGGAGAGTATTGGTGCAGTTTGGCAAGAGCCAATATTTAGGACCCCACTGAAGTTTAGCTATCTAAAATCTCCGCTTGCAATTGACAGCACATTTCAGCTTTCTGCTGCTTGTCTAGCTGCGACTACCCTACCAGCTAGGGCTTTAGCTTGCTGGGTTTATTACTAAACAGATTTGATAATGGTGTTTTGTTTACACTTACCTCTCTAAGAGTGATCTTAGCTACGTAGACTACGTTGGATCCATCTCGCTTGAAATGAAGATGAGGCTTGTCTTTCAGAATAAAGACGATATCAGCAGGGATGTTAGTTGCTGTTTCATCACCTTCCCTGGGGAAAGTGATCTTTGTACCCTCTTTCCAACCTCTTTTAATAACAACATTTAGAATCTTATCCTCAGTCCTTGTGTTTCGACCATCAGGGTTTAACCTTCGACGTGTTATCTTCATTCTTTTAGTACAACCATGATAGATCTCCTCAAGGGACACCCTAAGTTCATGAATTACAGGAGGGTCCTGCACCTTTCTACGGGTATGGAGAGACTCTGGGTGTCGTCGATGAAATCCATTCATGCCATTCATTCCATTCATTCCAGTCATACCATTCATTCCAGTCATGCCATTCATTCCAGTCATGCCATTGAAACTAAAACGGTTGAAGGCACTGAATGGATCATGGTCATCATCGTCTTCTTCAATATCCATGTCTTCATGACCAAAGCCATTAGCCATTCTAGAGCGTCCTTGAGAACCAAAGAAAATATCAAAAGGACTGGAGCCACCAAAGAAAGAAGCAAAGGTGGCATGTGGGTCACCGTGGAAGGTGTAGTGGAACGTGTTACCAGAGCCACCACTGGAGGTTCCTCCTGCTTTTAAGCCTGCAACAAGAAAAAGATAACATTAGATACAAATCACCAAAAAAATCCAGACTATTGTTTCTCCCAATCAGGCCCATCTTTGATCATCCACTGTTTCTTACATAACTCATGTTCCCGAGAGAAGTGGCAGATTTGCCACTGTGCATATTGAAGCAGTTCACCCTTGAGCAAAACAGGTAATGATAGAATGCTGCTTGAGGATGTATTACTCTGGGTTCCCATTCATAATGTCTAACTAGCAATTCTCCCCTCCCATCCCATCACTGGAAACTACTTATGTGGATGTCAGATAAGGATAAGATGGAACTCAGCTAAGTTGCCCCTCTCACCAGGCAAAAACACTGCAGACACAAATAACGAATGGTCATTTGGGCTGGATAACAGAAGGGCTGGCAGTTTCTATGTGTGTCTAAGTGCAACGTACAGTTGAAACACTCTCTAGTTATCTTAAATCTAATAACAGATGCGCACATGTATGCTTCTGTTGAAATAAGCAGCTCAATTAAAGGTTAAGGCTATCAGGTTGATTCTGTAAATGGATCTGCCTATCTATTCTGAATCCATGTTGAAGTCCATTACTGCTATTGGCTCTTCCATTTTGGAAACACTGTAGATAAGATACAAGTTTAGAAATCCTCCCAGTTTAGCTTATTGTTATACCTAATCATTGGAATAAGAATCTTATTGCCTCGGGGCATCTTGTCAAAAAAACCCTGAAATTTACTCAATTTATATTGTATTCCTCTAAACAAATAACTGTCAGTGCACAAAATAAGTTCAGCAACTTCTAGAACAAGTTAAATATTTACATATGTCCACAGTTTAGTTGGGGTCAGCTGGCTGTCTGACACATGGTTAAGAGGATCCAAACCAGACAGTTATATTTATATCACCTACATATGGACATTTTCCTGTTATGGAACGGACACTCTCAATGTCCTGGAAGGACACTTCCTGTTTACCTAATTCTAACTAATAATTATTACATTTGATATAGCGCCTTAGATAATCGTTGAGATGTCTCAAAGGGCTTCACAGAATATATTGTAAAGTGTGGTAACTGTGTACTTTGTGGGTGAAACGCGGCAGCTAATTGTGCACAGCAATGACCCACAAAGTTGTGGATTGATTGACTAAATTTTTTTAAAAGATAGAAAGAAAGACACACAGACAGCTTTAAAATTATAATTGACTAATTCTGGGGAATATTGCAACAACAACAAAATTACATTTGGATAGCGCTTTTCACGTCAGGAGGACGTCCCAATATGTTGGACAGTCAGTGTTTCGGACCCAAGCTAGGGGTCAGGATTGGGGCGGGTGGAAGGCAGGGGGGAGGGGGGAAGATCAAAAGCACAGTCGAAGTGGAGGGACTTGAGATGGGTCTTGAAGGAGGCAAAGGAGGGGGCAAAGCAGAGGGACTGTGGGATGGAGTTCCAGAGAGTGGGGGCAGAGCGGCAGAAGGCTTGTGCGCCAATTGTGGGCGACCGAGGCGGGGTACATGAAGCAGGTTTTGAGCACCCTGAGCGGAGGGATGGTAGGGTGCTAGGAGGTCGCAGAGGCAGGGGGGAGTGAGGCCATGAGGGGCTTTGAAGGTGAGGACCAGGATCTTGAACTGTATCCTGTGTGATGGGAAGCTAGTGGAGTCGGGCGAAGATGGGGGTGATAGGATCACAGAGCCTGGTGCGGGAGATGACATGTGCTGCAGAGTTCTGGATGATCTGCAGCCTATGGAGGGAGGAGCTGGGGAGGCTGACAAGCAAGGCATTTGGATATTCAAGTCTGGATATTATGAATGCATGTATGAGGGCTTCAGTGGCCTGCGGAGTGAGACAGTGGCAGAGCCAGGCAATGTTGCGGAGGTGGGGAAGGCAGAGAGGATCATGGCACAGATGTGGGGTAGAAAGCTGAGGGTAGGGGCCGGGATGTGAGGGGCAGATGGGGAGGGCGTAGTAGGCGGAAGGGTGGAGGCAGCTGAGTGGGTTGCCTCGACTTTGGATTCAAGGAAATCCAGCATCGCCTCGCAGATGGCAATAGAGGTGAGGATGGGGGAGGAGTGAGAGGGTGGGTGGAGGAGCTGGTAGATGATGGAGAAGAGGAGCTTGTGGTTGTCCTTGGCCTCCCAAGATTTTCTTGGAGTAGAACGACGATATAGCGGAAGCGAGGGCGGAGTGGTAAGATTTGATAAGACCCAGCCAGATCTGCCGATGGACAGTTAAGTTTGATTTAAGCCAGGTGCATTCAGCAACACGCACCTGTGCTTTAAGGGAACGGAGGTGGCTGGTGTACCAAGGTAACTTTCGTGAGTAGGAGACGGTTCGGGAAGTGAGGGGAGCAAGGGAATTGAGAGTGGTGGAGAGGGAGTTTAGAAGGAAAGTGACCGAGGAGGATAAGTCATTGCATGAGGAAGCCCAGAGGGGGAGGAGTTACAATATTAGTTACAAATTGGAAAGAGCAAAAACTTGAGGAAACCTCAAGTGTGTATTGCGGTACTGCTGGAGTTTAACCACATAGCTTGCCTTGGAGAGCACAGTTTGGCAAGCTTCCTGCTGCTTGTCCAGCGAGGACAGTTAGATCCGCATCTGGGTGATTATCAGCAAGGACACTGGGACAACACCAATAACAACTAGCATTTATAAAGTACCCTTCATGCAGGATAGTGTCTTGGAGCGTTGCACAGTGATGAGGCTGGATACCAAGCGAGTGAAAAGGGTGAGATAGTCATGGACAGTATCGAAAAGGTAGGTCTTAAAACAAAGAATCCATGGCACTATTCACAGTAGGTCTATGCTAGGTGAGTGAAGGGGTGGGCAGAGGCATGGGCTATGAGCTGCAAAGATCAAATGGCGTTATTCAAAAATTAGAGAGAATAGTGGCATGGGATCTTTAACGTTCAACTGAACATGGTTTAACCTCTCATTCGAAGGATGGCACCTATGACAATGCAGCACTCCCAGCACTGCATTAATGAGCATCAGCCTGGACTATGAGCTCAAAGTCCCGACGTGAGGCTTGAACTTATAATCTTCCGCGTCAGAAGCGAGATTGCTACCAACTGTAATAATGACACCTGTAATTATTAAGTAGTAAAGTAAAACAATAAACACCTGTATATTTACTATGCTCTTTCAGCCACTATGGTCACAAATATGAAAGTACTGTATTTCCCTATTTCTCACAATTCCTTATGGTTCTTCATTTTACCCTCAATATATGGCATTTATGAATATTTTTCCAGCCACAGGGAGCTGTGGAAATTAAAGTGGGGGTTATATTCACAAAATTATAGTAACACTGTTTCCAAACCTAAAGTATTTTTCACATTGATAATTCACAGGGAGGAAAATCTCCCGAGGTATCCTTATTGCTACTTTTCAATTATACTTTTCAATAGTAGTAAAGATAGTCCTCTTCAGCTAACTTTCTTTTGTTAGTTAAGAACAAAACCTACCAACAGATGATAGTTTAGTGTACAATACAGTCTAATATTGGGATTCAAACTTCTGTCTCAGTTAATAGTCTAAAACTGTAAGTGAAACTGCCAGCGCTGCAAATATAGTACTGAGCTGCTCAGTCACTTTAAAGACAAATTTATCCACATCCATTTTCAATGTAAATTACTTTTGTATCTCCAAATTGTAAAAGTTTAAAAACAGTTTCTATTGAACAGTATTCCTTAATTACATTCTTCATTAGACTAATGCCAAATGCTGGATGAGATCTGATGATTCAGGGTAAGTATAAACTCAGAGACCTACTCAGTTTTCAGTAACAGGTTTGTTCAGAGTCAGCTGAGCAGGTCTCTGAAATTAACAAGATTGAATTTCATGCTGTTTTAGGTACTGAATGGTTCTAACTTTTCCTTCCACTTCCCCCCTTCTCCTTCTCTCACAAAGTTCAAGCAATTTGCAATGAAAGCACAGAATTTCCTTACTTAATATTTGTTCTTTTTAAACATTATATTTTAGTATTTTTGCCAAAATACTTTGTATTCTACAAACGTGACCCACAATGATTGATTGAAAAATGTACAAAATAATGATTGCATTTGATATACAATAATTAAAGCAAGGGTCCAGGGCGAGCAAGGGTGGAGAGAAAGGAGAGGGAGACAGAATTTATTTTTGTTAGAAGGTTGTCTTGACTCTCTTCTCTCTCTCTCTGTTTTGGCTCCAATACTATTGTTTTTTAAGGATTAGAATATTTTAAAAGCTGGCGGTTGGTCATAATACAAGTCTTTGTGAAGTGGGTGTTTCTATGACTTTCAGAGTTCCAAAAATGGTCACAGTGGAAATGTATAGATGGCATCACCTGACATTTTTGACTGACGAAAGGTATTTATTTTTTTTCTTAGAAATTTGGGGATACGCTTTTCTAATGGGCCTGACTTTAACAACAACAACTTGGATTTATATAGCGCCCTCCACGCTGGACGGCGTCTCAGAGCGCTTTACAGTAACAGATCCCGGGTCCGAGCCAGGGGGAGGGGGGGAAGGTGACCGAAGGTGCGGTCGAAAAGAAAGGTCTTCAACAGAGACCTGAAAATGGGAAGGTAGGGAGCAAGATGAAGGGATCACATCACATCCAATGCAACCGAGACCTTCGTCCACACTTTGTCACTTCCCACTTCCATTGTTCCAACGCCCTCCGCTCCAGTCTCCCGAGCTCCACTATCAACAAAATCCAATGAATCCAGAATTCCACTGCCCGTATACTCACCAGCTCTAAACTCCTTACCCCATCACACCAGTTCTCACCAGGCTCCACTTGTTCAACTACAAGATCCTCACACTGATCTACAAATCCCTTCATGCCATGCCTTAGCTCCGACCTGCTTACTCCCCACTTCATATCTCACTGGCTCCTCTTGGCAGGCTCCTGCTTATCCTTCATCCCCTCCACCACTGCTTTCAGACACCCTGAAACTTTGGAACTCTCTACCTCAATCGCTCCTCCTTGCCCCCTCCTTACCCCTTGTTAGATCACGTCTAAAGCCCTCC